GTGCATATCCTGACTTGTCCAATTATTAATTATATCACCTTAGACAAATGACATAGCCCTTCTACGTCTCAAATTTCTGATAACAATAGTGTCAATCTCACAGTTTTTTTGTGAAGAAGAAATAAGTTAATATATGTGATGTACTTAGATCGGTCCCTGACATGTGCTTAGTAATTATTTAGCTATTATTATTATTATTACTATCTCTAAAATTATCAGTGCAAACAATTGTTACTAAAACCCAGAGAGGTGGTTATTACCTCCATTTTATAGAGGAGGAAATGGAGGCTCAGAGGGGTTGAGAAAATCGCTGAAAGTCACACATACGTAGTGCTGGTGCTCACATAAAATTCTTGTCTTAGATGGTGCCTGGGTGGCTCAGCTGAGCATCTGACTCTTGATTTTGACTCATGTCATGATCTCAAGGTCCTGGGATCAAGCCCTGGGTGAGGTTCCGTGCTCATCAGGGAGTCTGCTTGAGGATTTTTCTCCCTCTCCCCCTTCCCCACTCGCATGCACACTCTCTCTTTCTCTCTCTCAAATAAATAAATTTTTTAAAAAAAGACGCTTGTCTTAAAGTCCAGTCTTCCCATCACCCACACCCACCTCAGCAAGACTATAAATAAATGTCCCTGATTCAGCAAAGATGCCTTCTTTACATTTGTAACTTCAAAGTGACATAAAATTGTATGCAAAATCCTTTGATCAGAAAATAGCACCTTCAGAGAGGACTACTCTAAAAAGAACATCGTTAATTGGTAGGCACTTATTTGAGATAGAACAAAGTCCTTTAATGTCCTAAATGTCTTTCTAAGTCAAGTAGCTTAGGAAGCCAGGCAGGGGGAAAGAATGAGCACAAGATGAGATGTCTGAAACTTGGGGTTGAGTCCTCCCTTTGCTCACTGCTGTGAGATCATAGACAAGATAACCTAACTTTCTTCTTCAAGTCATGATTGTGAGGATTAAATAAGATAGTGCTTGTTACTGTGATGTGAACTCTAGAGCTTCGGAAAAATAATAAGCTATGATTTTTATCATCATAACCCAACTGCCAACCTTTTCTGAAATGACCCCTTTAATGGACGAATGAACTTGACTGAAATTCCTTAGCATTTTTCACCATTTCCATTTCTAGAAACCATGAGCTAAAGGACACAGAGATGTTCACATGTAAACACCTTTCCTTCTTTCTTCCTTTGGAACTCCAAAGAGTATTCAAATATTAACATCTTTCATCTTTTAAACCTCCTTATAAAAACCAGATGTGGAATACTTTTGTTCTGGGGGAAGCAAGACTCACCATTTTCATTCAACTGCATGGCTGTTAACAAGTATGAATGTTTTGCTTCCTAGATACTGAAACAACTGGAAGAGAATAGGGCTCGTGAAAGTCCAACCTTTCTTACCTAAATACCAGAACATGAACTGTCCCACTAGGAGAAGAAGCGAAGAAGAAGGGAATGATTAAGTGAGTAAATGGCATGTCTACACCTACCAGTCTGGATCTACTCTCAGCAGCAACCCTCCTACCCCCACATCACATGTGAATTCTATCACCTTTCTTGACTATTTTACTATTCTTGTTTAACCTTTCACAACAATATAACTCTCCAGATATCTAACTAATTTAACTCTTTTTTGAAAAGATTTTATATATTTATTTGAGGGAGAGGGGGAGAGCACAAAGGGAGAGGGGGAAGCAGACTCCCCGCCTAGCAGAGAGCCCAACACAGGGTTCGATCCCAGGACCCTGAGATCATGACCTGAGCTAAAGGCAGATGCTTAACCAACTGAGCCACTCAGGCACCCCTAATTAATTTAACTCTTATATTAATTCCCCAGATAACTATAAATAAGTTCTTTTCCCAAAAAACCTAACGGTGAGGTCTCTTGCCTCCATCCTGTCCTTGTTTCCAGAAAGCCTCTAATCAAACTATTAACTCCTCAGGGAGTTTAGATGGTCAAACTCTTAAGAAAACAAAAACAAAACCCAAATCTTTTCTGTAAAAAGATGTCCAAATAGCAACATTTTGAGTGGGGACCACTTCCTACACACACACACACACACACGCACACACACACACACACACCCCACCAAAAAAAAATTTGGTTTGCCACCTGGTCATCCATGGTGAGACCCACCAATAGACAAGATGTGCTCACTTTACACAGATTCAATCATTTTACTGGCTCTTAACACTCATGGACACACTGCCAAAAAATCAGCAAAGACAGATGAAAACAGAAAGAAAAAAAGTGAGATTCAGAGAAAACAGAGACAATGCAGAGAGCAAAAAAGTCTTAAAAACAAAAACAAAGAAATTAAACATTTGATTAATATCCTCAAAGAGAAAAAAATTATAAAATGTGTCCATGAAACAAGAAGAAACAGTAAAGCAAAATAGTGAACAGAGATCAAGAAGGTGCTCTTAACTATTAAAAAAAAAAAACAGATGAAATTTTAAAATATCAATAAAAGGGCTAGAAAATAAAGTCAGAAATCTTTCAGTAAGCAGAACAAAAAATCAAGGAGAGGGACAACAAAAGGAAATAGATAAGAATATTAGAGGCTCCATCTAAAAGATGTAACATCTAAGTTACAGGAGAGCCAGTATTATAGAATACTGAGGAAGAAACTGGTAAAAAATCATAATAAATAAATAATTTTTTTAAGAATTGAAAGACATATATCTTCAGACTAAAAGAGTTTGCAAAGTATCCACCACATGATAAAAAAAAAAAGGACCCACACTGAGGCATATCACTGTAAAATTTCAAAGTGTGGAGATAATCCTAAAGTTAATTGAGGGGGGAAAAATAGGTCACATACAAAGCTCTGAGAATGGAAGTGGTATCAGACTTTTTAATATGAGAAATGACAAAATAGGATAATGCCTTAAAGTTGAGTTCTAATAACAAATTTTATCCCAGAATTCTATATCATCAAAACTATTAATCAAGATACATTTTCATTCATAAAAAGATTCAAAACATTTACCTTCTATGCATCTTTTCCCAAAAAGCTACTGGAGGATGTACTCCCACAAAAATGAGGAAGACTGGGATTTGAGAAACAAAGCATCTAACAGGACAACAGTGAACAGAAATCTTATTACAGTAGCTACTCAAGAGACTCAGAGAATAACTTCTCCAGATTGTTGCATAGGGGCACCAGGAGGAAAGTCTGAAGTGGGGGCATAGTAATGACAGGTTTGAATATACAGAAAAGATACTACATGTTTGACAAAGATATTGGAGAGTTCAACAGAAAATAGCAATAGGTACTAGACAAAAATAAAAGACAAGAAACTATCAATCCCAGGAAAAACAAAGAGCTATACAGAAAAGGAGACATGGTCATATTTCACTGTTTGGCTTAGCAGTGAAAAGTATCTGTTTAAATAATAATACTATAAACCTTGACCACTGATTCAACAAAATTCTGGTCAATAACTTTATTAAGGGGATGGAGGTTAATGAATTATGTGGAAAGTGAGAGACCTACCATATTTCCCTTTAAGCCAATAGATGAAAAAAATAAATAAATAGCAATTGCATATTTAGGAATACAAGAGTAAATAGTAGGAAAACAGCCAAAAGTATTGATGTATAAAACTATTTGAATATAAAATATAAATATAAAATATATACCTTTAGGAAGAGGGACTGAAGAATGGGAAAGGCAATGTTACTTTTCCTTTATAAGCCTAGTTGTATTTTTGGCTTTCAAAACTATGAGTATATAATACATTAATTTAAAAATATATTTAATAACTTTATAATTTTAAAATTAGAATTAAAAATCTCTATGACTGCAAGATGCAATCAGCATAAAGGAATACTGGAGACTATAAGAATAAAGCTCAAATAAGTAAGTGGTCTCAAGCCAAATGATCACAAAACACCCCAGTCATTTTAATCCTACACACTCTTGTGGAAGTGTGCTTTCCTCTCACTTTGTAATTATATCACTTCAAAAAATCAGAAGTCCTATCACCATTGCTTTGACGTTGCAAAAAAATCTCATGGATCTTCTAATTTCTCTGATTTATCACAGGAACAAATGAAAAGGACTTCCTTTACCAATCTTTTCATAACTGATCAAATCCTTAATTTCTACACCATGCTTTCACTCTTTGGAATATACCTTAAATGCTTTGGTCTAATGAAACGAATGCCCACTGTTTTTTATACTAATATTTATCTACTTGATGATAAACACACAAGCAAAGCATAAGATTTCTTCTTCCAATAAAGACAATTCTTCTGAATGACAGATTTCACTTTAAGCTTCTTAAAAATGCATATCTACATACTAAAAGAATGTATTCTCCAGTTATAAATCTAACACTTTTGCTAAAATGATTCCAAACCCTCTCACAATTACCTTTGAATTTGGCTTTTAGAGATAATTGGGTGATGGTCATTAAGGAGGGCACTTGATGTAATGGGTGTTATATGCAACTGATGAATCACTAAATTCTACCCCTGAAACTAATAATACAGTATATGTTAACTAAATTGAATTTAAATAAAGAATTAAAAAACAAGACAAGGGGGCGCCTGGGTGGCTCAGTTGGTTAAGCGACTGCCTTCGGCTCGGGTTATGATCCTGGAGTCCCGGGATCGAGTCCCATGTCGGGCTCCCTGCTCAGCGGGGAGTCTGCTTCTCCCTCTGACCCTCTTCCCTCTCGTGCTCTCTATCTCTCATTCTCTCTCTCTCAAATAAATAAATAAAATCTTTAAAAAAAAAAAAAAAAAAAAACAAGACAAGCAACACACCCAATTCCATTAGTTTTAAGTCTTCCTGAACCAGATATGCTTGGGCATTCATTTAAGGAAGTTAATACTAGTCAAGCATGCACTTCACTTATGGATAATAATCACTACTTAGTATATACATAACCAAACCATGTATTGTTGTTTGGCTTTAAAAATACACAAATTGGCTTAATAAAAATGAATTCAAACACGGCATTTAGGAAAAGCGATTTCTTTACCTCTGTTGGTTTGTAGCAGTCTACAAGAGCTTCCTAGAATGAAATACACAGAAGGTAAGTTTGATTATTTGAAAATTCAGTATCAATTAAAAATCATTTTATCTTCATGGTGTTATTCTACACATGGTAAATCCAGATTTCATACCAACAATCTAGAATCGCACTTTATTTCAGCATCCGTTGGGTCATCTTGAAGATATCAAAAGTTGTACCTTCCTAGGCACGAATTCAGAACACACGTGCACCTTCCCTTTGGCCTACAAACTGGTTAATAATAAACTGTATATGCTTAAGTTGAGACAGCCTGTGGGAAATGGTAATAATCACCCCTGACATGAAAAGCCAGGGGCCTGGCTGCAATCCAACCACAAACCACCTTGTTACACGTCTGCAGGCCTCAGTGTCCCCACCTGGAAACCAAAGTGGATGGCCTAAATAGCTAAAGCCCCTTTGAAGTTCTCAATTTTAAAAAACCTCTTATATGTCATTCCGTTTTCTACAGATCTGGTGCCTGCTTTATTGTTTTTTAACTTTTGTAACTAGATGCTATCATGTCCCGACTAAATTTACGAACAAGAAATAATCATTAAGCTGAGACTGTTCACCACATGAGGGACACAAGTAATTATTAACACACTGAACACATTAATACATTAAAATGTGCCCTTTAATTGCCCTTAGAGATCACTTGCCATTGGTGGTGACCGACAGCCATTAACAGTAATTATCAGTGAACATTAAGAACAATGACAGGTCAGAAGCTAATTGGTTTTAGAAACTCCCAAATGCAAATTTTAAAATGATAGATTTGACCTCCTGTGAGAAAGGAAATAAATGTCGTATTGCTTTGGACTGAGGAAACAGGAGACAGCGCAACATCCACTGTTGTACTAGAAGCCTACCAGGTGAGCATACTCTAATAATATGTCTTTTAGTAGGTTGTAAACGATCTTCTCTAGAAACGGATTCCATGGGTGATAATAATCCACAACCGTGAGACCAGAGTCCTGGGCTTGGGTACTCTGGGTCTGGCTCACATCTCTTCCTCTCACATAACTGTGGAGCATCGCTTCCTTTCCTGGCAAATGGACTTCTGGAAGCAGAACTGGCTCTTCCTCCAAGAAGGTGTAGCTACGGAAGCTCATACCCGGTAGGTGGTTTGAGAACTGACCCGGTAGATTCAAGACCTGCTTTACCATCAGAGACACAGTACAGGGGGACAGATACCTAGCACCCCACCTCTTTCCTCTCAGCAAACTGCCGTTGCTCGAGTCCTGGTGCCAACACCACCCGAGGGCAGGATCAGTGTATGCCAGGTTCTGGAGACCCAAGCCAATTCAAGCATCCAAGACGGGCAAGGTCTAGATTTTGAAAGCTGCTTACCCGTAATTTTAAAGCTCTCTCTTCTTCACTGTCTGCATCAAGAAGATCATCAATGTCAATTTCTACTTCTGGCATTTCTTCTTCCTGGGGGGAGCAAATGGAAAGGCATTCTATTCAGTGAGAAACTACATTGCACCAAACCAATTTAGTTAACTTAAATAAATGACTAGATCATTAATGAAGGGGGGGTCAGCTATTGGGGGGGAGGCGAGACCAAAAGGCAGAGGAGGGAAAGGAGGAGAAGGGGAGGAAGTAGGAGGAGGGGAGAGAGAGGGGAGAAAGGAGAAGCCAGAAGAAAAGGGGAGCAAAGGAGGGAGGCGCTATGTGGAAAGAAGGAGGGGAAAAGGGAGGGGAAGGGGAGAGGGAGCAAAGAAGACTCAAGAGTTACGAAGCAGCAGAAAGTAATATTTCAAAGATGACAACTTCCTACGTTCTGGTAGAAAACTACAATTACGAGGATAGCATGGGACTCAGCAGATGACAGAAAGAGCAGTGAGAGTCGCAGTTTCTTACCCAACATCTACCCTTTGCTTGGTGGCTACCTGATCTTTATTCCAGGTCCGCATCTCCCTTCACAGCTCTGGGTCTGGGGGGAACCTGATTCCGCAGATTTCTGAGGCATGGTGCTTGGGTCAGGATCACCCAGCTCCAACTAGTGACTCCAGAGAGGCCAGGAAATCCAACTGAGACCCGTGGGGGTGCTGGGAAAAGATGCTCTTTCCACAAGAAGCATCCCTGCTCGCTCCTTCTAAACTGAAAGTGGAAAGGGGAAGCTCTTAGCCATAAATTCCGGGCAGCCATCCTGCAACTACAAAGGGAGTGATCCTCATTCATGGTGGGCAAAGCAAGGAGAAATAAGAACCCAGGGTCCTGGACAAGTCACTGAGTCACTGAGTCAAACCACCTCTGAAGCCCGCCTACCTTTACGTAAATCCCTATTCCTATTTCAGCCAACGTGAGTGAAGTGTAATATTCCTGCAACCGAAGACATCCAATCCAGAACAGAGGGCAAGAAAGTCCAGCTGGAATGTGGTGAAGGACGTCCCCAATTTGGAATCTGTACTTCCTACCCCAGAGTAGGTCTTTGCTACCTCTTATTTCTGTTGTCTGATCTGCGCCATTCTGAGAACACTGAAATATAATTGCATTTAGGAAAGTGCTGCAATTTTGCATGTCACCTTCCCAGTAGGAGTCACCTCCTCCCCAGCTCCTCCCTGTCACAGGGATGTGTCTGCAGAAGCTAGAGAGAGAGACCTTTATGAAGGACATCTGGGCTTAGCCACCTGGTGCTGGCTGCATCACCTGGTCTTCAAGAGCAAGGCTCACTTCCTGAGTATCTCCTTTCTAGTAAAATGCATTTACTAATAGTGCTCTACCATTCTTTTTTTTCTATTCCAATACAAAAGAGGACCCAAGCGTTTGGAGGAAACTAAGGAATATGATACACTGCTGTGAAATGATAAATGTATATATTGGTCTCGACCCCTGGTTCCTGGCACAGAGCTCCTAAAACCCCTTATGAATCGGGGTGCCAACATTTGTTCTAACATTTAGTGTCTGACCTCAGTTCCTGACATAGAGCTCCTAAATCCCTTAGAATTTCCTGGCTGGTAAGAACATCTTGAGTCCTAATGAGGTGACTCTTGGTGGGCTCCTGGATGGGGGCTGGTCACAAGAAAGACCAAACCATGATTAGAAGGTTGGAACTTTCCACCATACCCCTCATCCATCCTCCTGGAAGGGGAGAGGGTCTGGAAATGGAGGTAGGTACAGATGTGGCCTCTATCCAGGCTGAGGATGCTGGGAGGATCCCAAGGCTGCACTCCGTGGTCAGGACGCTGGGAAAGACCACACTGGATGTGCATGCTGCTTCCCTCTATCCACGGCTATCAGCCTCCCTGGCCGCCACCACGTCCCCCCCGCCCCCACCATGCTGGCGCTCTGTCACTCTGAGCTGCCTGTACCCCACCTCCTATTTTTGTGTGTATGTGAAATCCCAGCTGAAAGGAATCATTTAGGAAGCCACAAACAGATGGTGGTACAGCTCTCAAGGGTCTACTAGACTTTCCACAATGAAAGGACCGGTGGGGACGGAAACACCAACAGAGAATCTCACTAGATTCTGAAACAGCCAGCAGCCCACAAACACAGACCACAGCCGGGGAGCCACAGTGTGGATGGAGCCCACAGGGAACCTCCCCAGGCCAATGAATGCCGAACCAATGGCCATCGGCCCCTCAGAGCAGAGCCAGCACACACTGGGTTATGTTCTGGTAAATGTGGTTAGAGATTAATTCGGTTACATCCACAGCACAGTGTAGCTTTATAAAAACTACCGCATAAGGCCAAAATACCCACAGCCAGTTTCAGCTGATTCTACCCAAGAAAGGCTAAGCGAAAGAAATAAGCCCACAAGTTCCTACCCAACGATCTACACAGAATCCTCCTCAGTTTCTCCACTCCTTCCCCAAAACAGTCATTTGGGTTTGGCATTAATATTAGGTGTGAACACAAAGTCTGTATTTAAGTTAAGGTTCAGTGTCCTCAAGCACAGGAAGCAGGATATAGAACCTGCTCAAGGAGTCACAGCTAAGGGAAGCTCAACGTCTGCTATTCTTAAAGGAAATGAAAGAATAAGTAAATAATGCTCTCCTCAGAACAGTAGAGCAATGGGTTTCCCTGCAAACATTATTCAGCTTTGATGCCCTGCCAAATTCGGTCAAATGGGCCCTTACTTGTGTAGCAACGCAGAGTCCCACCCACGCGGGAGGCATCTGCAATACTCTCATTAGGAATGCACTTGGCTCTCCCTCAGATGCTACATTTGACCCATTTTCTCCAACCCTCGAGATCTGGGCTGTCCAATATGGCAACCACATGTGTATTTTCATTTAGATTCACTAAATGAAATACAATTAAAAATTCAGTTCCTCAGTCACATTGGCCACATTTTAGTGCCCCGGGGCCACATGTGGCCCATGGCTCCTGCACAGATGTAGACCCTTTCATTCCATTGGACAGGACTGCCCTAGAGTCCACTTACCCCCCGGCCCAGACATTGGGAAGCAAAGCCTCCCTCCCTCTCAAAGGAGCTTGACAGGAGTAAAGAAAACGCCCCACAACACAAGGTCACTACCATTACCAAGGGTATATGGCAGGAAGAACCTAGGCTTGGCTTTCCTGATGCGAACTGTCTTCACCGACTGAGTAATTATAACAATCACTGGGCATGGACACTTTCTACCAACCTATGATGCTTCTCATTACCCCCACCCTGATCTGTCAGTAGCTAGGAGGAGTCCGAGCTCAGCGTGCATGCCAGGAGGGTGGAGTAAGGGTGTGTTCTGAAGGTCGGTGATGCCAAAACCAAACCATGGGGCACAACGACATAGAGACATGGGTCATGGAGGTACACACGGGAGAGTCCTGGGGAGCAAAGACTGATCTAGTATCAAGTAGAGAATCCTATGTGTATTTGGTATTTAACATATCTAATGAGGAGGGCAGAAATATTCTACATTCGACTGAAGTACTCTTTAGCACTTTTAAATGTATGGAGCCGTGTCACTGAATAAATAACTTTAGTGATAGATCACATCATTGACAAGGGAGTGACCACAGCTACAGCTCACTCTGATGTCCCAGAGTTTAGTTGCATTTGAGGATTTCCCCACATTAAAAATAGATCAGTGGTTATGGTGACACTAAGTGAAACAATCTCTTCAGGGTCCCTTGTCCAAGTGAAATAGTGGTTCTGGGGACAGTAAGTGAAACCATCTCTTGAGGGTCCCTGGGCTAAGTCACCAGCTAACGTATCCCCCTTTTAGTCAGAGGCCTCCCTGTTGGTACCCACAGAACAAGCCCCTTGATCATGACCATGCATCTTCCTGGTCATACATCTGTTGAGAATCCACTATATGCAAGGCATTGTGGGTCAGGCATTGTGAGACTCTGCCTGGGAGGGACTGTCAGTCTAAGCTCAAAACAAAATAACATGGCACCAAAAGAGAAAGACACACCCCAAGTGCTTGAGTAATTAAGGAGAGGGAAACCTTCCACCGAGGGCTGCCTGGGAGGGTTTCACCTAGGAATGCATAAGCTAGCTTTGAGGAGTGGCAGGATTTGGACAGGGTTAGAGGGGGAGGGAGATTACCCACAAAAGGCAAAATGGTACACAGGAGGCAAAAAGACAATGTGAGTTGTAAACATGGCTCGTAGAGAGAGGTCCTTGGCCTGGAAGTCACCCAGCTCTGCTGCCAATTTTAATGCCTGATGGCAAGCAGACAGGTAACAGAAATGAGCACTAAGGTAGCCTGGGGGTGCTATAAGGAGTAGTGGGGAGCATGGCAAACTGGAGAAAACATGCCCTGAAGAAACACAGCAAAGAGCACTCCATTCCTGCCAATTGTGACCTTCCTTTTAGGAACGTGTGCTTAGTGCCGCCAGATTTTCTAACTTTTCAGGAGAAGCTGAAAATACAGATTTTTAATATAAAAGTATCGCAATATTTTAAAAGTTGGTTAACAATTCCTTAAAATCCTGTAAAGGACAAACAAAATCCATCACCCTGCAGGCTGCAGTTTTTTCCTCATCCTGCAGAGACTAGTCCATGGAGGGCTCCAGAGCCAGGGTGGGAAATGCCAGAAGGGGGGCCCGGCCGGTTGCAGGGCTGAGAGCAAAAGGGAGGAGGTGAGGAGGTGAGGAGCCTGCTGAGAAACACACACTCAGCCCGGCGTGAGCTAACCGGCCTTGAAGGTGTTGTGGCAAGAACAAAAAGATCTTATACCACGATTAACAGGGAGGGAAAACAGATGGCATTTGGAGCTGAGCTGGGTGGCAGAGGAGGGAGAAGGAAAAGGTAAGAGATGATCCAGGTTTCGAGCCCGAGAGGTGGTGGAGGAAAATGCAGTAATAAGGAGCACATCTGGGACCTGGAGGGCCGTTCCCAACCAACAAGCAGTTCAGAGATAAGCCATTTGCAATACCCTCTCCCCCCAGCTCCCAGCTCGTGAGCAGATGTGGGAGACGCAGGACCCCCACATCGCCACCATAAAGGGACACACTGCAGGCCCAGCCCCGTGCAG